CATAGAAATGCAAATAGTGTCAGTACTCTGCGGAGAATGTCCCCCGCGGGCCCGTGGCGGCGGCGGCGGGCGCGGGAACCCTTGCCGGCCGCCCGCGCCTCTGTGTTTTATTACTTTTTTATTTCTTTTTAAATGCTTTAGGGAGGTCAACTATCGCAAACAGGGTTGTCCATACAAATTGTAACAACATTGTTTCAGTTATTAAATCTTACATATTCGTACATACATACACAGAGTACTCCGGTGTACACACAAACAGCACCGGCACAAAGTTTAGTGGAGATGACTTGAAAGCAAATGTGTGTACAGCCTCACAGCCGCAGTACGCTGTACATTGTAAAACTTCAGTAGTTACAGTGCCATTTGGCGCCATCTATTGTAACAGTATATAAGTTTAGTTCTGGCGTTAAAAAAATTGCAACCCTATGGCAGTGTCGCGAGTCGCTTGGTGACGGCGGGGGCATGGCGGGTGCGGGGCGGAGAAGGGCTTGGGGGGAGAGGTCGCTGTCGGCAGCAGCCCGCCGCGGCTTCACTCGAACTTAAGTTAAACTTTTACTTAAAAATTATCGGCGTCGATATTGTAAAGTAACGCTCGATAACATTACTGCGTTATCTTACACAAACACATTGAACACGACATTACTACTGATAGTAAAAGAGAATACAACACAGCTGTTAAAGAAACAGTAAACTTCATATCTCACGTATGCTTTAATAAATGTTAAATTAATGCAAAACCTCATGCAATCGGAGACAGATGTAATGTACATTGTAATCCAATAAATGTTTGATTCCCGCTCGCGCGCTGCTCGGGGGAGAGGGCGCTGCGGGGAGATTTACAGACTCGCGGAGGATCAACTTTACGAAATAGTTATATTGAAACCGTACAAAAACAACAAATAATTAAAAAAAAGAAAACGTTGAAATAACAGATTCGAGCGGAAATAGCAGAATTGACTTTCAAAGGTGGTCGAACGAGACAAAGCTAGCCGCGCGCCGTGCGGGGAACAGTGACGGCGCTACACTTCACACAAAGCCGAGTAACTGTAGACAATGGAAGCTGAAAAAGACGTTTCCTTTAACGAGATTCCTATCTGGAGAGTGTTTTGCCTGAGGACTCGCCGACACGCAAGCCGGCGGGCCCCTGCGCGCTCTCGCCTCTCCTGCACGGGGATAAGGTAGAAATTCGCGCAGCTCGCAACGATCCGACCGCAGACACGCGCTTGCGAGCTGGAAGAGACTTTGTGAACGTACGCGAAGCGTGAAACAAGATTTGTCAAAGTATAACTCTTGTCCAGAGTACGCTGATACCAGCGCGTGAGCGTGGCGCAGGCGACGGGGGGCCTCGCGTCCTGGTCGCCGCATTCGATAAGGACGACGCGAATTAAACTTGCGACGATCAAACGAATGTGTCGTGTCTCCACACTATGTGGCTGACGGCATCTTGAAGTGCGGGCGCCCCGCGTCCCGTCGCCCCGCGTCCCGGCGTCCCAGTGTTCCCGCGTCCCGGCGTACCGAGCTGGACAGCGGCGTCCTCTGCGACTGCTGCCGCCACTGTTTAGTGGAAATCGCAAGGAGAGTGCTGAACTGCTTTAGCAATCCTCTTGCGATTTTCTTCCACTAAGCTGTACTAGTTGTCGGCAGATCCCGGCCCAAGTCCCGACATCGCATACACACGTACAATTATCTCGCTGTAGATATGATGAGTGCAGTTTTGCAATTCTCCAGTGCACTGTACCGAGACCGGTGTGAGGCACCGCCGCTCCAGCAGTAGTGACACCCTGAGAATACTGTTAACTGATAGTCAGTTAACAAGTGTAATTGAATCATGTCAAACAATTTCCAGGTGTCTCCTGCCGCAGTCGCTAGTGCTCTATGTTACTCTATTTAGCGAATTATGTTTAGTATTTACAATACAGACAACGTAATACAATGCATTTGTATTCACAATGTGACAGAATTTACAATTGTATTTTACTTATATGGGCGTAACAGCCATGTTAGGCTTTATTAAAATATAGTCTTCTTTACCTCTTATGCTTTCTTGCAATTTGTATAGAATAACCTCACCAATAACACCGTGTTTCCATGTATCCACGCTCGCCTCGATGAATATGGCCCTCGTGTCGTCGAGCCAATGCAACACCCTTATTTTTGACATCTGACTACTGTTCAACCATTAACATAACAAGTAGAATCCCGACATTTTAAAACCATGTCATAAAATTTTAAATAATGTGTTGGATCACAATTACAAAGTTTGCCCTTTGTATGTACATACATAGAGCGATATAAATGTTCGAAACTTGCTGATTTTCATCGCGCCACATACGCGGTACAATGTGGTACAATGTCATACAGGATCGGACGGACACGCGTCGTCGATATTTATACCTGTCATCGTTATAACCAGTCATAACGAAAAGACGACACGCGTCGACGATTTCACCTTGTTCATACGGAGGATTTAAATTTCCATGTGCATATGACGTAATACTCCATCTAGCGTCGAGTAGTCATCAACATTATGGCGATTGACAGTTTGTACAAAGGGTTTAAATTAACTTGTGTATGTGACGTGGTACGCCATCTATTGTCGAGTAGTATAAACTGTGAAATATTTGTCAGAGACATCTATAGTACAATAGCTTTATACAATACACATTGTATTACAAAACACTACATTGATGTTACATCTTCGTGTTGTGAATAATAAATTTGAGATAGTTTACATTTTATTGTGTAGATGTCGCTGTGAGTGGCGGTTGCAGCGTCGCGGCCGATACGTTTCGACGTTAATATGACAACAAAGAAATATATAGACTAGACATAGGAAACAACATTTTTCACCGGTAACTTCTAAGAAAGGTACCATGTTAGTTGTCAAGTTTAGTGCCATCTCATGTCTTGGTATTGACATGTTATAAAATTATAATAAGCTCTGTCTTTTGTTGTAAAATAAACTTAAACTATCACAAAATAAAACATCCGACAAAAAATATGAAATATCCCTATAATAGAGTGTTAGACATCATATTAAACCAAGTCATTTTAGTTAGTGCCTATTATGAAGCCTTGGCAATCACACGGCGCCATCATTTTCAAAGAATACCACTTGCTGTTTATTCCATTTTTATCTAAACCTAAGGAAATCTCTCGAGAATAACGTATTTTAGTTTGAAAATTCTTAGAAGTACCTTAGAATTATTACACGTAGGTTTTTGTAAAATGTGAAGAATTCAATTGACGATATTTCGTAAACTACAACCTAGAATTATAAAATATTTTGGGTACATTTTCGTATAACAAGGTGTATGATATCTATTTATGTGAGAAATTTCAAACGTCTATCTTTATTTATTAGGAAGTTACATGGATTTAGATATATTTTCTATGAAAATATGTTTTTTTTTAAATCAATAAATGTCAAGATTTTTAACTTTCTCCTAAATCCATAGACAAAGTGCTGACTAAATTCTAAATTTCAAGTTTGTAGCACCATTAAAATATGATTGAAACACGTATTTGTGTAAAAAAGTGAAGATTTCAACTAGCTATAATTTGTAAACTGCTGAATATAATTAAAAGATATTTTGGCTATATAATGAATGCCGGTATATCTATTGATGTTCAAAATTTCAAGCTTCTATCTTAATACACAACGAAGTTATAAGGGGGTCAAAAGTGTCGCGAAGCGGTTCGAGAAAATAGTGTTTGGCTGCGCTCGCCTTGGCGGGTGCACTGCCGCGTGCACAGATAAGCATTTAAATTTTATTTAAATACACCTATTAATTATATTGATGTTCGAAGGCGATAGACAGCGCGGACACAGCGCGGGGACAGTCGGCGACCTCCTCGCTGGCACTTATCTCCCGCCTGTCACCACATCTTGACTGATTGCTTATAAAATTTCCTAACAAACAGACCAAGATAAACAAAAACACCGAAATAACTGATGACAATTATCATCGTCATAAAAATAATACACTGAAATACCCTTCCTATTGCCGACAAACTTCGTAGTTCTGTACACAGCATCTCGATGGCGCTGGATAAGTTATGTGTACAGAGACACAGCCTACTGTTCATTAGATAACAGCACAGATAATACAATACTGTACTAATTAAATATGTGTATTCTTTAGATAACATAAACTGGAACAACGGAGCAAGGAAGAATTTAAAGAGTTGATTGGAACAAGCAATGACGTAACACACAGACGTACCTAGTGGTGCTTATACATGATGCTGGCTTCTTGTTTACCTAACCTAAAGTTGGAGAAAACTGTGAGGAACAAAGTCGGGAGCACAAGCGTACAAGTGGCAGTATCTAAATGTAAAAGCAACAATCTGGAACTAGTTGAAACTTTTAGCGAAATAAGCAACAATTTTAAATTGAAAATGTGAAATAAGAAATCGATCCCTGTACTAGGCCGAGGCCGAGCCGGTACTTCAATGTACCCTTTGTTATATTGTTTATCAGAGAACATTGTTATTTGTGATTCACTAGTTTTCGCCCGCGACTCCGTCCGCGTGGAATTAAAAAAACTAAAATTGAGTAGCCTATGCCTTCTACCAGACTATCCTCTACGTCTATGCCAAATTTCATAGAAATCCGTTCAGCCGTTTTGGCTACAAACTCTAACAAACATTTATCCATCTAAACTAAAACGATGGCTACAATTATTTATTCAAACTATGAACACAAAAAATCAAAAATATTCCTTAGTTGTTTCTTTTTGTTGTTGCGTCTCCTGGGAACTGTCACCTGCGCCGGTGACAAGTAGCAGCGCACGACAAGATCATTGCCCGACACCTGTTACGTGTCGACATCTACGACTAGTAGCATTTACCCGTATTTCTATCATTATCAGATTCTATATTGTTGTTCAGTTAACTTTGGCGGCAATAGCAAACTATTGTTTCTATCAATTGACGCCGATTGCAAAACTACTTTGTTATCAAGCAATGATCACAGACGCGGTATGCGTCGTGGACGCGCAACGAGACAAGACACAGGTCATTCGTGCGGCGACGCTCGGCGCGGACGGACGTGCGGATAGACAAGCGAACACGTGAACACACACTAAACAACGCACGCACCCATTGGTGAGATTTGTTTGTTTTATTGTGTTTACATTATTATCCTTGGATTTTATACCAGTTACATTGTTTGAAAATTACAGATAATATTTTTTATTAATTATTTTGTCGCTGACATGATTTATGTTCTGCTACATTTCTGTTGAAATAATTTTATCTAGTTAAATTATTTTACTTCTACTAGTAAGAATATAATAAGATACATTTGCCTTTGCTTCCTATCTTCCCTTCCCCTCTGTGCTTAATGCGCTGGTGTCGACTTGCTGTTCCTGAGCCCTTATTTAAAAATCACATAAAAAAAAGAGAAAATTACATCCTGTGCTATTTCTATCATGTGATTACTGATGGAGGTTGCCATTAGTCGATATTAATTTTTTCTTAGGTTATCGACGACTAATATTTTGAATTGCTTTGATATCCATAAAAAAATTCGCAAGCAATCTTGGTATGGTTACGTTTTATTTTGACAACAACCACATAATAAGATTCTGATATGATATCAGTCAAAATGATAAAGACCGAATTAAAAAAAAAACAAATGTATCGCGGAAAAATGTGAGACACATTACTGCAATCACTTACAAATATACGTAACATAAATAATACGAAAACAATAGTTACTTAAATACGTAGGTATAACACTTATTTTTGTAAAATATATTTTACATATGACACTGGCAAGTGATGAATGTGACGACAGCGACTCAGAAACAAATCAATTAAGTTATTGAGTGTATTGTTCTATAAAACAATACATGTACAGAGCTGTCTCTGCTCAAACATTACTTCGGTAATTTATTTTTTCCGTCAAAAAAACGTTTTTTTTAATAAATTCATTCGGATATAATTTTATTAAACGTAACTTGAATTACACTGTGGCACATGGGACGTGTTTATGTATCTTTTGAGTGTGGGGGCTCAGGGTGGCTGAGAGCGGCCGAGCAGAGCAACTGCAGTCATGTGACGGCCGCGCGGCGCTGGCGGCGCCACTGTGCTCGCCGTATTCAATTAATAAGGCCTTGTGCCGCAACATACAAATATAATTCTATTTATAGGTCACTTCTTATTTATAAATAATAAACTGAGATCTTATTTAGACATCCTGAAATCACGCAGCGGCTGCATCTCGCTTAGTAACCATCTACTGGAAATTCACCTGACTATGTGACGTCACTCACCTTAACATTATTATATTTCATAGATAACATAGAGGACACATCACCGCGGTGCGCTCAGGTCAACCATCGCCGCCGGCTGTCGGCAGTCGACGCACGCGACTCTAAGTGACAACTAAATAACCTGTCACGATATCGCAATGAGTTAGTTAGTGGTCGCACGAATCGGCTTAAAAATAAAATGTTCAACATAATGTAATAGTTCGTTTCTATAACAAAATAAATTTAGTGTTCATACGAGTATTACACAGCATTCGTTGACAATTAGCGTCATAAGGATTTCTGTCGACTGTTCGACTGTTCAGTTTTGCGTTCCGTTTGCGTAAAGAAAGCTGGAACGTGACGCTTTACACGAGGCATTCTCATCTGTCTGTTTACAGATATAGTGAGGATGTCTGCAGGGATGGCGACGAGCGCGGTGCTGTCGCCGGGCACACGCATCCGCGCGGAGGTGGACGAGGAGGCGGTGCGGCTCCTGGCAGAGCGGCTGTACGGGATCTCGGTGCTTGAGCTGGTGGAGCTGCCGGGTTATGACGACCGCAACTACCGCCTCACTGAGGACCCCAACGTCAAGAACCCGCTCATTCTACGCCACAGCCCACACGGATACGTCCTTAAGATTATGAACTCCATGGACTCCAAGAATCTCGCCGTCGTCGAGGCGCAGAACGAGCTCATGAACTTCTTAAGTCAGTTCTCAATCTCCAATAGAATCTATTTAATTTTACTTAATCTCGTTTAAATAAATGTCATCGTAGCAGTGCCATCACTCCTCATGGATTTGTGTGTTTATACATTAGTCAGTGTCAAAAGTCATGTTAATATTTGCGAGTATGGTGAAAACGGAAACGCGTTGTCGTTCGCAGGCCGGCGCTCGGTGAGGTGTCCGGTGGCCGTGCGCAACGTGTTCGGGCAGCTGCACTCGCTGGAGACGCTGGGCGGCCAGCAGCACGCCGTGCGCCTGCTCGAGTACGTGCCCGGAGAGCTGCTCAAGGACGTGCCGCGCTCAGATGCCCTCTGCTACCAGCTCGGCGAGTTCGTCGCGAACCTCGACAACAAGCTACAAGTTAGCCCTCGACTCCAATGCACTCTGTACCTAAATGACTACATAACAGGTGGCTGATGCTTGCTACAAAGTCAATGTTCTGCAGCAACGCAGTCGCGGTGCGCTGCTTGTATTGCTATAATAACAAATTGAAACTGCGCGAGGCATCTTCTCTTATCTATCGTCACGTGTTATCATAACGTCTGATAAACATATTCAGATACAGTTTCAGAGAAGCTGACAAGTCTATTTTTAGCGCAAATTTAACAAAGTAACATCCACTTTCATTAATGTAACTAAGAAAAAACTTATAAATGTGGATGCGGTTCGTGAGATGTCAAGTAACCACCACGTGCATGATATGAATGTGACCTAACCGTGGTTTCCTCGCTGCTGCTATTGTAATATAGATGAAATAGACAAATGTAATGCAGAAGTATGTAATAGTCTAGATAGTACAGTGTGTGTCACCCTCATTCGACTTGACTTCGGTTCTGTTGCGTTTAAAGTAGAAGTCGCAGCGAGTACTTTGCGTGCGGGTTCAGTGATATCGTTGCGTGTTGCAGAGTTTCACGCACTCGGGGCTGGCGGGGCGCGAGCACATCTGGATGCTGTCGCAGGTCCCGGAGCTCGACAAGTTCAAGTACGTCATCGAGGATCCCGAAAACCTGGACCTCGTTGAGGAGGTGAACACTCTCGTCCATATCAATACTAATATTATAAAGAGGAAAGATTTGTATTTTTGTATGTATTTAATACTCGAAAACTACTGGGCCGATTTTAAAAATTCTTTCACCGGTAGAAAGGAAATTTATCTGTGAGTAACATCGGTTATTTTATTATTGCTAATGTTGAGGAACTATTAATAAACAACATATTTCTGGACCACGACGTAAAAAATTACAATGTTCTGACTTTTCTCGGCTTACGCTGCCTAAACCGTTAAAGATATTTATAATATATAAAAATGTTATACAAAAGAATTGTAGATCTCAAAAAGTTCTACAGAAAAGTCTGCATATACATATCTATATTTAAATGTTTTCTTATAATAACTACTTTTTCGTTTGCAAAATGAATTAAAACCCGCCCGCTATTTGTTTCTTATATAATTGCAGTGTGTGGGATAAAATTGTAACGTGTAATGCGTGGTTTGTCAGGTGATCGAGGAGTTCAAGTACGCGGTGGTGCCGCAGCTGGGCGAGCTGGAGCGCGGCGTCATCCACGGCGACGTCAACGAGCAGAACGTGCTCGTGGAGCGCAAGCCGCCGCCCAGGTGACTGCCTCGCCACGTACTTATACATACTCGTACACCACAGGGACTCCAATTTCCACAATCTCGTTGTTTGGTACTACACTGCCGAAGGATAAATTAAGGAGTCGAGAACCGAAGTTTCCTTTTGTAAAAGTGAAGACTATTGTGTACTAGTTGTTGCCCGCGACTTCGTCCGCGTGGTATTAGAAAACATAAGAACTATATAAATAACAAAAAGCTACGTATCCCTCGGGAACCGGACATTTCTCGGGGATGAACCTCATCCCATGTGTACCCCAGACTTTGTTTTATATCTGTGTCAAATTTCAATAAGATATGTTGATCCGTTGCAGAATGATCGAGTAAACATTAAAAAACTGTATTAATAAATCCCACGGGAACCGTAAGTATTCCCGGGATAAAAAGTAGTCTATGTGTTCTTCCAGACTATGCTCTAAACCTGTGCCAAATTTCATGGAGATCCGTTCAGCCGTTTAGGCTCCAAACGCTAACAAACATCCATCCATCCATCCGTCCATCCATCTAAACTTTCGCATTTATAATATTAGTAACGTACGATTATTTAACAGCAACGGCGAGTACCGCATCGCAGGCATCATCGACTTCGGCGACGTGCAGGAGTCGTACTACGTGTTCGAGCTGGCCATCGCCATCACGTACCTGATGCTGCTGACGGGGCAGCCGCGCAGCGCCGGCGTGCTGCTGGCGGGCTACGGCGCCACGCGCCGCCTGCCCGACCACGAGTACCGCCTGCTCAAGGTTTTTACAAACTTTTCATTGTTTCTGACACGTTACCTCCCGATAATCGCTCACAACTTTCCGGACAACCTACGGGGGGTAGGGCACTTTTCTTGACCCCTTGCCATCGCGATTTAATCAATAATCCTGGTCCTGAATGTCCTTCAGACATAGACGTAGAGGATTGTCTGGAAGAACGGGCTACTCAGTTTTGTTTTTTTTTTTAATTCCGCGCGGTCGGAGTCGCGGGCGAAAGCTAGTAATATTATAAACAGGAAAGATTTGTATTTCTGTATGTATTTGATTCACCCAAAGAAACTACTAGGCCGATTTTAAAATTAACCATTACAAAGGTAATTTAGTTGTGAATAACATAAGCTATATTTTATTATTACTTATCACAATGTTTTAACTTTTCTCGGCATACGCCGCTTAAACCGTTAGAGGTACACAAAATGATGTATGAAGGAATTGTAGATCTCAAAAAGTTGTTTGGAAAAGTCCGCGATATCTTATATCTATCTTTAATACATTTGTAGACGCTGGTGTCGGCGCGGCTGGTGCAGAGCCTGGTGCTGGGCGCCTACTCGCTGCAGCAGGACCCCGCCAACACGTACGTGTCGTGCAGCGCGCGCGCCGGCGGCTGGCAGCTGCTGCGCCGCCTGCGCAAGGCCCCGCCGCAGCCCGACGGCGACGACACCGACTGGCGCGCGCTCGCCGACGACTACCTCACGCGCAGCTAGCCTCCCCCTCCCCCAGCCAACTGGCCTCGCACTATGTCAAGTCGCATTACATACTATTGCATTTTATCTGTTTTTCGTTGAAAAAGTAAGGTTTTATTGTTGTAATAATGTTATTAATTCATAAAATAAATTAAATCATATTAAATTGTTTGTATTTTTGCCATTCACCAAGTCACCAAGAAATTCAAAATATAGCGTTGACGCTGCTTCTGCCGCACCCCAACAGCGCCATCTGTGTCGAGAATGTAAAGTACATATTCTTTGTAGATCATAGCCCCTCTGGTATTCCCGCGATACGGCCTCATAGCAGGCAGGTTCTCTCCTATCAATGATAGAAGCGTTGCTGGAGTTTCTTCCGCCACTTCTTCTCCCAGCGCTAACGCTTTCCGAAGTGGTAATAATGTTAGATGTATTAATAATTATAATAATGATCAGATAGCAGCAACCGATCAAGTCGAGGTTCAGCCCTCTCGGGCGCCCTTGAATCGGAATGCTAAACGCGTATTGAGTGACAGCCCAAGCCGAGGTCCCCTCTCGGGGACCCTTGTGCTAAGTCACTCCATGGAGCGACCACCGAAGCGATCTAAGAGCTCGGTGGCCTCCCAATCCGGTAATAATAACGAAGTAACCGCCCGAGCCGAGGCTCCTGAGGGAGCCCTCAAGCCTAGTTACTCATAAAACAGGTTTAGGCTAAGCGCCATCCGCGCTGGGCCACCTCAAGCCCGGTGAATCTGTAAATGCCTCTTCAAGGCAAACAGTGACAAATCAGTCACAAAAAAAAGCCCCTCTGGTGTTTGATCGAGGTCTTCGAGTTTGTTGTTATTGATCCGTTTTGCAGTAGTAGTAGTATAGCAGTAGACTTTTGTTTTGTTGGTCGAGTCGTTCAATTTCTGAACAACATTTTGTAGGAGATAAACAATTGGTCCTTCGTCAGCCGAATTTGTCGGACTGAGTATGAGTATATTAAGTTGGTCTTAATATCCGAGTCGGTTTGTTCAAGAAACTTCATATGTTTTAGGCGATGCGAGTCAATTCAATAGAATATAAAGCAAAAGCAAAAAACATATTTCTATTTAGAATTTACAGTTTGGACTTAGGACTTGGTGGATAAATAAAAATTTTGGGTTTGTTTAGAATTTGTTTCCGGTCGACTGTCAGCCATTTATAAATATTCTTAATTATTATTTTGAATTACCTCCTCTTATGTTTTGCTTTGTTTTGTTTTTTTTTAATACGTTGTTGTTGGCGTCGTTTTCACTCTGTCCTAATAGATGGCGCTGTGGCGAGACCGTCTTACACTAAACCGCGATGTTATGAATATCTCGCCACAGACCTAGTCGCCCGCTAGTCGCGGGCTCTTTGGTGATTTGTCGGTTGTTCTTTGCGTTGTTATTGTGGTTGTCATCGCGTTCTGTAGAAGTCGTTTGTTTCTGAAGTTTGGTCGTTGGTCAAGTCCTGGGGTTCAAATTCGGAACCCAAGTTTCGTAGGAAGTAGGAAACAAAATATGGTCCTTCGTTTGCCGAATATTTCGGTGTATAGTGTATTAGGTTGGACTTAAATATTCGACTTGATAAATTGAGTGTGTAAAGTTTTATAACTTCAAATAAATTAAATCACGGGTTTCAAGTCAGTAGAATATTTAAAGTTATTTTAATTTCAAATATTTAAAAACAAACTTGAGTTTGATACAATATTGGCTACAAATACATACAATTTTGGCTAGGTATCGTCGACTGTAAGCTGTTTCGTAAACAAAACAGTTTGTCAATTTAATTACATACCCTCTTAGTTTTGATATCTTTCTTCAATTATTTTGTTTGATCTGTATAGTGTTTTAATTTGTTTTATTAAAATGGAACAAGCTAATAGGTTAGTTAGTCTTCAAGAGGACAGAATTGAACAAATACAGGAAGCTCAAACTAATTATTTGAAAACACCCAAGTCTCGAATAACATTAAGTTACATCGAAACTCGCCTCGAAACATTGGAACATTTATACTGCTCGTTAACAAAGGGACACGAAGAAATATCTACGTTGATCCTTCGTGGACAAAGAGGTTCTGTCGATTATTTTAGTCTAGATAAATGTATTGAATTAGATGAACTTTATACGATTTATAAGACTTCGTTAAAGGAAAAAATAGTTGAAATAAATAAAGAATTGACAACAAGTAATGCACTTAGCCCGAGAACTAGTACAAGTACAGAAATAAAGTTGCCTACGATACAGATACCCATATTTGCGGGTAGTTATACGGACTGGCCATCGTTTAGAGATTTGTTTACATCTATCGTACACAAAAATACAACTTTAGGTAATGTTCAGAAATAACATTATTAAAGTCACATGTAGCTTGTAGCTTGTAGCGGGGGAAGCAGAACAATTATTTCGCAATTTTACAATTACTAATGACAATTACCTTAAAGCCTGGGAAACATTATACAATAGATTCGACAACAAGAGATACATTGCGAATAGTGTTTTCAAAAAAATATTTAGTGTAAAAACGATGGTTCTCTAATCAGCTCATCTATTAAAACAGTTGCTGTATACAACTTTGGAATGGCTCAATAGTTTTAAAAACATGGGAATTAATACGGATGCATGATATGACATAATTGTTTACGTAACTGTATCAAAGTTAGATCCGTACAGTCATCTATTGTGGGAGCAACACATATCTGCTGATAGCGAAAACATGCCGACCTTCCAACAGTTACATCAATTTCTAGAAATGAGATTTAAGTCGTTAGAAATGGTTGAAGATTATTCAAACCAAGGTACAAGTAAAACTAAAACATTTCACTCGTCAGTATCACCAGCGTCGTCAACCCCATGCACATTTTGTGATGGTGAGCACTACATTTTTCAATGTTATCAGTTTGTTAGACTAAACCTAGAACAAAGAACAGAATTTGTGAAAGAAGACCATTTATGTTTTAATTGTCTAATTTCCTATTATTCAGCAAAAAAATGTTTGAGAAGTACAAGATGCAATATTTGTAAAGGAAAACATCATTCTCTATTACATCCCAGGAAAAAGGAAACAACAACAAAAGAACACGAAGAAGAATTACACACCCAAGAAAACGAAAACATTGCTATCCATTTTTTAAAACAACCTGGCCAAGTTCTGCTCGCTACAGCACTGGTAGATGTAACTCAAAGGAGCGGCTACACAAACGTCTACCGTGCATTGATTGACCAGGGGTCACAGGCCTCTTTTGTTACCGAGGAATTAGTTAAGTCCGCAGGCCTACAGACAATGAAAACAAACAGCGAAGTCACAAGACTCAGTGAAGGGAGCCAACTACATACAAAGTATGTGGTTATGTTAAAAGTACGCTCAAGAACAAACCCACACTTCACTGTGCCTGTTAAAGCTTACGTATTGAAAAACATCACAAATAATTTGCCATTACATAAGTGCAACGTCCCAAACTGGCCGGAATTACATTCAATTCCACTAGCAGATCCTACCTTCAATGAGCCGAACAAAATAGATATCTTGCTAGGTGCTGAAGAATACACCCAAATTATTGATATGACTTTCGAGTTTTCGATAAGCGATTTTCGATTTTCGATTTTTCGATAAGCGTTATGCGCTATGCGCTATGCACTATGCGCTATGCGCTATGTGCATAACGCGATATGCGATTTTAGATTTTCGAGTTTCGAGTTTTCGATAATCGTTACGCGTTATGCGCTGTGCACTATGCGCTATGCGCTTTGTGCATAACGCGATATGCGATTTTCGAGTTTCGAGTTTTCGATAAGCGTTATGCGCTATGCGCTATGCGCTATGCACTATGCGCTATGCGCTATGCGCTATGCACTATGCGCTATGTGCATAACGCGATATGCTATTTTCGATTTTCGATTTTCGAGTTTCGAGTTTTCGATAAGCGATACGCGTTATGCGCTATGCACTATGCGCTATGCGCTATGTGCATAACGCGATATGAGATTTTCGATTTTCGAGTTTTGATTTTTCGATAAGCGTTACGCATTATCCGCTATGCGCTATGCACTATGCGCTATGCGCTATGTGCATAACCCGATATGCGATTTTCGAGTTTCGAGTTTTCGATAAGCGTTATGCGCTATGCGCTATGCACTATGCGCTATGCACTATGCGCTATGCGCTATGTGCATAACGCGATATGCGATTTTCGATTTTCGTGTTTCGAGTTTTCGATAAGCGTTATGCGCTATGCGCTATGCACTATGCACTATGCGCTATGCGCTATGTCCATAACGCGATATACGATTTTCGATTTTCGAGTTTTCGATAAGCGATACGCGTTATGCGATATGTGTTATGCGCTATGCGCTATGCACTATGCGCTATGCGCTATGCGCTATGCGCTATGTGCATAACGCGATATGCGATTTTCGAGTTTCGAGTTTTCGATAAGCGTTATGCGCTATGCGCTATGCACTATGTGCTATGCGCTATGTGCATAAAGCGATATGCAATTTTCGATTTTTGAGTTTCGAGTTTTCGATAAGCGTTACGCATTATGCGCTATGCGCTATGCACTATGCGCTATGCGCTATGTGCATAACCCGATGTGCGATTTTCGAGTTTCGAGTTTTCGATAAGCGTTATGCGCTATGCGCTATGCACTATGCGCTATGCGCTATGTGCATAACGCGATATGCAATTTTCGATTTTTGA